GCAAGTGAAAGATCTGCATGAGAAAAATTTGAAGTCTCTGAAGAAAGAAATCAAAAAAGGTCTCAGAAGATGGAAAGATCTCCCATGCTTATGGATTGGCAGGATTAATATAGTAAAGATGGCCATCTTGCCAAAAGCCATCTACAGATTCAGTGCAATCCTCATCAAAATTCCAACTAAATTCTTCATAGAAATAGAAAGAGCAATTTGCAAATTCATTTGGAATAACAAAAAAAACCCAGGATATCGAGAACTAGTCTCAACAATAAAAGAACTTCTGGGGGAATCACCATCCCTGAACTCAAGCTATACTACAGAGAAATAGTGATAAAAACTGCATGGTATTGGTACAGAGACAGGCAGGAAGATCAATGGAATAGAATTGAAGAACCAGAAATGAACCCACACATCTATGGTCACTTGATCTTTGACAAAGGAGCTAAAACTGTTCAGTGGAAAAAGGACAGCATTTTCAACAAATGGTACTGGTTCAACTGGAGGTCAGCATGTAGAAGAATGCAAATTGATCCATTCTTATCTCCTTGTACAAAGCTCAAGTCCAAGTGGATAAAGGACCTTCACATAAAACCAGATACACTGAAACTAACAGAAGAGAAGGTGAGGAAGAACCGTGAATACCTGGGCACAGGGGAAAAGTTCCTGAACAGAACACCAATGGCTTATGCTCTAAGATCAGGAATTGACAAATTGGACCTCATAAAACTGCAAAGCTTCTGTAAGGCAAAGGACACTGTCAATAGGACAAAGTGGCAACCAACAGATTGGGGAAAGACCTTTACCAATCCTACATCTGATAGAGGGTTAATATCCAATATATACAAGGAACTCAAGAAATTAGACATGAGACAATCAAATAACCCTATTAAAAATGAGGTACAGAGCTAAACAAAGAGTTATCAGCTGAAAAAACTCAAATGGCCAAGAAGCACCTAAAGAAATGTTCAGCATTCTTAGTCATCAGGGAAATGTAAATCAAAACAACCCTGAGATTCCACATCACACCAGTCAGAATGGCTAAGATCAAAAACTCAGGTGATAGCAGATGCTGGTGAGGATGTGGAGAAAGAGGAACACCCTTTCATTGTTGGTGGTATTGCAAGCTGGTACAACCACTCTGGAAATCAGTCTGGTGGTTCCTCAGAAAATTGGACATAAAATTACCTGAGGACCCAGCTATACCATTCCTGGGCATATACCCAGAAGATGCTCCAACATATAACAAGGACACATGCTCCACTATGTTCATAGCAGCCTTATTTATAATAGCCAGAAGCTGGAAAGAACCCAGATGTCCTTCAACAGAGAAATGGATGCAGAAAATGTGGTAACATTTACACAATGAAATATTACTCAGCTTTTAAAAACAATGAATTCATGAAATTCTTAGGCAAATGGAGGGAACTAGAAAATATCATCCTGAGTGAGGTAACCCAATCACAAAAGGACACATATGGTATGCACTCACTAATAGTTGGATATTAGCCCAGAAGCTCTCAATATCCAAGATACGACTCACAGACCACATGAATCTCATGAAGAAGAAAGACCAGTGTGGGTGCTTTGGTCCTCCTTAGAAGGAGTAATAAAATACTCATGGGAGCAAATATGGAGAAAATGTGTAGGACAGAAACTGAAGGAGGGGTTGTCTAGAGACTGTCCCACCTGGGTATCCATCCCATGTGCAGTCACCAAAGGCAGATGCTGATGTGAATGCCAGGAAGTGCATGCTGACAGGAGCCTGATATAGCTGTCTCCTTAGAGGTCTGCCATAGCCTGATATATACAGAGAGGGATGCTCACAGCTAACCATTGAACTGATCATGGGGTTCCCAATAGAGGAGTGAGAGAAAAGACTGAAGGAGCTGAAAGAGTTTGTGGCCCCATAAGGAGAGCAACAATACCAACCAACCAGAGCTCCCAGGATCTAAACCACCAGCCTGGGAGCACTTAGGGAGAGACCCATGGCTTCAGCTGTATATGTAGGGGAGGATGGCATTGTTGGGCATAGGTAGGAGAGGAAGTCCTTGGTCTACTGAAGGTTGGATGCCCCAGTGTCAGGGAATTCATGGGTGGGGAGGTGGGAGAGGGTGGGCAGGTGGGGGCACATCCTCATAAAAGCAAGAGGAGAAGGGATGGGATAGGGAGTTCCTGGGTGGGAGGGAAATGGGGAAAGGGCATCACATCTGAAATGTAAATAAAATATCTAAGAAAAAAAGAAAAGTGAATAGAATTAAAGCCAGAAAAAGAAGTGTTCCCACAATTGTGTGTATGTGTCTGTGTGTGTGTATATGTGTGTCTGTGTGTGTATATGTGTGTGTGTCTGTGTGTATGTCTCTATGTATGTGTGTGTGTTTCTGTGTGTGTCTGTGTGTATGTGTGTGTGTGTCTGTGTGTATGTCTGTGTGTGTATGTCTGTGTGTGTGTCCTCACAAAAGAGCTTGGAAAGCAAGTTGGGTGGTTCAAACAAATGCTAAAGGGCTTGGGGTTTGTTTTCCTCTTTGATAAGCCAATGTAGATGTGTTCATCCAGTCCAAAGAGTCAGAAAATTCAGTTTATTGGAAGTTTTATTCCCTCCATGGCTGCTACAGCTTCAGAGCAAATTCGTCCTTCTAGTATACCTGAACTGGATTCTATAAATTACAAATAAAATCTTTACATAAGCCCCTGTTGTGTTGTTTTCTACACATGATTCATAACTGGAGTCTTAACGTTTGCTATAACAATAATGGCAAGAGCTGATGTTTATTGAGCACCTGCTAAAATCTAGATGCAACCAAAGGATTTCACAGACATTATCTCTGGAATCTTCAAAATGATGGTATTAAGGACATGTTATTCCCAACCTCACTTACAAATAACGAAGCAAAACCAGAGAAAGATGATGCAGTGGGGTCAGATTTGAAACACGGGCCTGCCTCACTGATGACAAAGGCTTGGCAGTGAGTCTGGGAGGGTGGAGATGGTGAATGCTATTTTGCAAAAGTGACTAAGAAACTTCAGATGGATCTACCCAGGTACAAGAACAGAGAGAGGGAAGGTATGGGCCTCCTTCATCAAATACAGTACTCTAGATGTACTTTGAATCATACCCCTTCCAAACAAAACACTAGTCTCCTCTTTTCCTCCCCCCTCCTCATTTTAATAAAGTATAAAGTTTTTCCCACTTTTTCTATGTCTACATTCATGTGTACACAGAAACTGTTTCAAATATCGGTAGAATTAGACCTGGATTTTGGACAATGGTCTTAACATAACAAAGACTTGCAACACCAGGTCTTGTTGGAAGTAGCCACATTTAAGCTGGTTGACCTCATGTTTACACTACAACAACTGTAACAGTGGTTTGTGTAGTCTTTCATATGACAATGAAAAAATGGGAAGAATTCTAGAATTCTAGAGTCTTAGATTGTCATCTGGAATGTCAACAGATCCCCTTCACACACACACACACACACACACACACACACACACACACCACAGCATAAATAAAATCTGCAAATAGACACTACACTGGGACAGAATTCAGCTTATTATGAGTCTGAATGTTGCAATGTGTCCAACAAGGGAATCTATGCATCATGAGGTAATTGTGGATACAGGAGCCAACCATCTGCCAGAGATGTCACCAGAAGGAGAGAGCATATAAATTCAAATTCTACCTTTTACCTTTAAACACTATAGTCAAAAATATGAAGAAATCTTAGTAATCTTAGTAATAAGATGTAGAACGTTCACTGAAGGAAAAACTGCATAGTAGTTGTCATTGACTGACTAAGATAAAATGAAAACTGAATACTCTCTGTGGTGGTTTGAATAAGAATGGACCCCATGGGCTCATATATTTAAACCAGAGAACTGGACTACTAGAGAAGAATTAGAAGGTATGGCCTTGTTTGAAGAAGTGTGTCACTGAGGGTGATCTTTGAGGTTTCAAAAGCCCAAGGCAGGCCCAGTGGCTCTCTTCCTGTTGCCTGCATAGAATGCTCACCTCCTTCTCCAGCATCATGTCTACCTGCATACCACAATGCTACCCCCATGATGATAATGGACTAACCCTCTGAAACAAGCCTCCACTAAATGCTTTCCCTGTAAGAATTGCCATGGGCACGGTGTCTCATCACAGCAATAGAACCCAGACCAGGACACTCTCTGAAACTGAACACTACTGCAAGTGGGGCACCCCAGCCTAAAATTCTGAAGCATAAAAGGATCTAAAGTCTCAATCTTTTTTGAACACTGGCATGATATTTAAAACTTTGAGATTTCTGGAGAATTTCAGATTTTTGCATTTCCAGGGTAGGAGTACTCAATCAGAAAAGATCTATGAAAATATTCCCAAATCTAAAAACTAAAAAACAAACAAAATCTAAACCCAGAAGTACTTCTGGTCCCAAATACCTCAGGGAAAGTATACTCAACCTATTTTCAGAAGACTAGTTACTAAAACAAACAAACACAGAAAAAAGTGTGTTTCTGTTATCTCAACCAGTTTTAAGTATTCATGTATTCCTGCAACCAAACATTGCTTTGAAGTGAAAAAAATGAAGAACAACCCACAGATCCGACCCAATCACAGAGGTACAAAGCCACACAGAGACACAGCCACACAGATCAACACAACCACACGGATCGACAGCAAAACCTTTTCACTAAGTAGAAGAACCTTGATGAAAGAGAATGTACTATATTATGTCATTTCTATTTACCTCAAAATAAGCAAAATCAAATTGACAGAGATCAGAAGGTGGCTGGGGATTCCCAGAGAGCAACCACAGCAACACACAAAGGAACTTAGTAAGAGCTTAGAAACTTCTGGGTTTTGTTTCACAAGCCCTCAGAAGGTCCATGAGTAAACACAATTGTCAAAGCTCTTTTAACTTACAAGCAGTGCATGTGTTTCCTGAATGAATCACACTTCCAATATAAAATAAGATTACAGTTCCTATTGTTTTATGTCATCTGAAGAATTCAAGCCTTACCAACTAGCTTCTTCTTATTGCAGAACATCATCACCCTGAGTTTTCACCACGTCATGTGTGTTGGCCTACATTTTAAAGAGAGAGAGAGAGAGAAACACACATCAGTATTTGAAAGATGCTCAATATCTTTATATTAACCCTCTTCAACAGTCTTTCTATAAAAATTTGCTGACAGATAAAAAGATAAAAAGTTGATAAAAAGTTGCTGACAGAATAAAGAACAATAAGTCTAGATTAAAATGCTTAAAGCTAACCAGATGATAATAATTCTGTGCCATAAAAAATGAATGTTTGTATTACAAATATATTGGGGTTCAGAAATACCATATTTCAAAGTGAAAGCCTTGAAGCAATACTTGTCTCTGGCCTCCTTCTGCTCTCTGAGCTCTCATCCTCTTCCCTGCAGCTCAAAGAAGTCTCAGAAGTTAGAATTCCTCCTCCCTAAGGTGGGTCATAGAACCCAGAGTTCTTCTCCCTCAAATCTGGCTTTAAAAGCTAAACTGCTCCCCCTAACACCTCCCCCATATTTCTGGATAGAACCCTCCATGAAGAAGTCCTCTGACATATTTTTGATTATAGGTCCTAAGACCCCCTCTCTCCCCATTGTTTAAAGTGTCCAATTCCACACCCCAGTGGAAAAAAATGCCACAAATGAGAGTCCTAAGAAGAATCTGGACAGATAGTTCTTGTGGGAATCCTCTACTTCATCATCTCTTGTTGGCTCTGAGCCTTTCTATCCCATCAAAGGGCCATAGGACTCTCTCTGCTTCACTGAAACAGCCCACAAAAAAATGGATTGTTCATGCTGGATCTGTCTTTGGGTCTTCCTCCTGGTACCCAGAATTATTAGTGACTGGTCACCAAAGGTCATAGCATTTTCTCACTCCTGCTAATTTGTCAGCTTTTCTCAGCAGACTATGTTACATCACAGTGAAATTTTTGAACTTCCCAGTGAAGGCTTTATGGCAACCCCAGGTAAGCACATACATGTGCACTGGATTTGGCATAAAATTTTAATTAACTTTTCTAACTCATCCCAAACATCAGCAATTGGAATATCTTAGGGTTATACAAGCATCAGCCATTTACTGGAATATGCTAGACCCTCCCCACAGCCTGAGCTGATAACTCTCCTAGATGTGGGAGCTATATATAACATGGAATTATTAACCAGGCTGCAACTCACCACAACCCAAAATTTTCTACTTACTTATCCATATATACATCCTTCTCTTGGCTGCTACCCAACACACTAAAGTAATACCATTATTATCTTTTTTCTGCATGTGGCCTAATTTTTTATGAGCTAAACCCTACCAAAGATCCAAAATGAGCAAATGCACAAACAGATTACACACAACATTCATAACCCATGGGAATGAGCACATGAAGCTTTGCAAACAAGTGGCAAAGCAAGCAGGCATATGGAATTGGCGGCATTCTGTTGGTTAGAAAGAGAAATGATGCATCTGCTTCCTGCTCAGACAAGTTACACGCAGAACGTACGGAGTGTACTGAAAGAAGTGCTATGTGGTCAGCCGCACAGACACCAAATAAGAGGAACGTTTGGCCTAGCAGTTACAAGAAAAGACGTTTAAAAGGAAGTTCATTAATCCCCATGGTTCTAATATGGGTCCCTTGGTGTCCAAAACACCGGAAACCATCCATTTGTCTCCCTGTTACCACCCTGGAGAGTGCCTGACAAAAAGAGGCGCTGACAGTAGGAATCTAGACTTTCCTAGTGCCCAGATTAGTAAAACTGATGAGTGTAAGCACACACCTTGGTTATTGCTGCCATGTGCTACCAGAAGCAGGAGTAATTATAACCCACTGGAAACTCCCCTGTTCCCTCCTGTACACTTTCCATGCATTGGTTCCAAGGCTGCCCAGACCATCCCTCCTCTCTATCCACATCCCTGCCTAGGCAGTGGGTGTCATCTAGGACATTTCGGCTGACCATAGATCATTCTTCCTCTGTGCTTATCCTCACAAGCCTGTCTTGGTCCAGGAAGTTGGAAAGTTATAGACCACTGTCACATCAAAACTGCAGACATCCTCCTTAAAGGGAAATGCCATCATGTCATGACCCTGCTAAGAAACCCAGAAGACCTCACGTTAGCCTTAGGGAAGAAAAGATTAACACATCAGCTAAGGCTTCTACCATCTTGTTTCTGCTCATGCGTCTTACCTTGTTTCTCCCACCTTCCTTCACTTCCCACACTCCTCTGTTTGCTCCTCGTGTCTGCACTTCAGAAATACTCAGCTTAGCTTTTTTCCATCTGGGGACCTTCATGAATCCTCTTCCCTATACTTATAGCCATGTAACCACGGTCCCACCCTCTTCACCTCATATATTAACTCACATGGCACTTCCTCCACGAGCCACTTCCTATGTGTTCCACAAAACCTGGTACAGTTCATCTCAGAGTCAATGGCATTCTAGGCTGTATTTGTCTACTACATTGTCCTTCTCATTATTTCTCAAACTCCAGTGGCACAGGAACCTCCTCATCTGGCCAATGGTTTTACTCCTGACATCTGACACATGCCTGGCTCACAGTATTACTCCATGTATTTATTGAGCATGAATGAACAATGCTTTCTATTTTCCTAAGAAATGGAGCGAGGACATACACGTGCTAAAAAGTCCTCCTCTCTTACCGATTATTCTTTCTAGGACTCAAGCACCAGAGTGGCTTTGATTTGTCATCCCTATTTGAGGCTCCAGGGGTTTGGGGGGTATTTCATCTCTCTTGCTATCCCCTGTCTTCTATATATGGCTATCTCCTAAACACCCTTAACGCAGATTAGGACCAAACAGGATGAGCGCATTTGGTATCATAGCAAGTTGAAGAACATGGGAAAGAAGGGCGGAGTGGGCGGAAATTGGAGGAGAACCTCGGGAACTGCAGATTCTCAGTAGATTCTCAGGAGGAGTGTTCTTGTCAGTTAGATTTGTTATAAACATTTGGTCACCCCAACCTTTCCTTATTTCCTTCTCACCCCTGCCATGCTCCCCCCACCCCTTCAAGTCTCTTTCCCACAATCATGCCTCTCTTTTTGTTTTGAGACTCTCTGGTTTTAACCAGGAGCATCTGTGTAGCTGTGGGTTTGGAACTATCTGTTTCAGCCTAGTGGACTCACTGATGGGCACACAGCTAAAGGCAATGACCATATCTACCCCTGAAGCAATCAGTTTCTTTCTTTTTTTAAAATTAATTTTTTATTGGATATTTTACTTACATCTCAGATGTTATCCCCAAGAAGCAATCAGTTTCTAATAGAATACAAAGGATTTTTTTTAATGTAAGTCTTTCCTCTGGAAAAATACCATAGGCAAAGCAGTCCTCACCCACGGGACTTTTTCCTGGTTTCTTTATTTATTGTTTGCTTGTTTATCTATTTTGATACAGGATCTGAAGGTCTGTAACTCTCTATATATCCCAAACTAGCGTCAAACTCACTGGAATCCTCCTGCCTCAGCTTCCTGGTTGCTGGGATTATAGGTCTTTCCACTATATACAGCATTTTTATCGTCACTTCTTTGTTCCACGAAATAATCACCAAAAGGAGCCAGAGCAGACATTAAATGGCCTCAGGAGGGAGAACACATAACGCCTGTGACAATGACATCTGGTGCTCCTGGTGCCCCATCTGGCCAGAAGAGAAAGACCAATCAAGAAGTCTAAGCCAACTTGTTAAGTCATGAAAATTGTCCCTGGGGACTAAATCAACATGCTTTGCTTTCACAGGACCAAAATCCCTTGTTGGCTTGTCAGATGGCTGAGAGGGTGGTGCTAACTGATAACCAGTGTTAAGGATGACGCAAAACACATCTGCGGACTACAAAGGGAGCTACGGTGGAAGAGCCATGCAGCTTTTCTCTCTGTTTAAATCTTCCCGCACATTCTTCTCATTTGCAAAATTCTCATCAGATGATGCGTCAAAGAAGGCCATATCCCTCACAGACGCTTTATTCCCTAACAGCCTAATGCATTCACTTCCGGTTCTCACTGTCTCCTTCCAAAGTGTCTTGAAGTCATCTATTTTGAAGATAGTGAATAAATCCATTTCAATTTTAAGCACTTTTACTCTTATAGAAATATTCTCTACTCCATAACTCAGAGTGTGACACCACCCTTGCTGTGCAAATTAAACTACTTCTGTGTGATTTCTAGAAACTTTTTCCTCAGTAGTATCTTATTCAAGGGCTTGAATCTCGAAAACAACATTATAGTAAAAACAGAAAGACTTCTTCTTAAATCCAATCCAATCCTTTCCTTATAACAGTGACCAAACAGGCAGAGTTTTTAGAAGACTGGGGCCAGTGCAGCAGACTTCAGTCACACTTGAGGAAAATGAAACTTCCTTTAGTACTATAATTTCTATAATATTCTCCCTATTCCTCGCCAAAATATCCTCACCCTTAGATGCTCTTGTCATCTAAGAAGGTGTTTAAGAGATAGTGGTATATAGAAGGACTGGGTCATTAAGAGAGATGAAATAGCCTCATTCTCTTTTTTTAGTGTGTGTGTGTGTCTGTGTGTGTGTGTGTGTGTGTGTGTGTTCAGGCACATGAGTATGAGAGTGTACCGTGGTGCACATGTGGATGTCAGTAGTCAACCTCGGATGTTGGACCTGACCTTCCACCTTGAATGACACAGGATTTCTTATCCATCACTGCATAAACCAGGCCAGCTAGCCTGCACACTTCCAGAGAGTCAGCCGTCACTTCCTGTCTTCCCATAGGAACACTGGGATTACCAACACATGCTACTACACCAGGCTCTCTACAAGTTCTGAGGCTCCATACTCAAGGCCCCTTGCTTATATAGAAAGTGCTTTATCCACCAAGCCAGCCCTGGGTGTTTTTAGTCTTGCACGTTCAACAACTCTCCAAAATACCCTGCATGCCACCTGCTCCACCAAGAAAGGTGTCAGAGTAAAGAGAAAGTCAACTCTTGTTGAACACTGAGTCACTAGAGTGCTAAGGAAATATAGTAAACACAACTGGGTGACAGAAGTTTGTGAGACATAAACTCTAGCCCTAAAAGTAGGAACTTAG